AGACAACAATGCACCTAATGTTTCAGGGAATGATAATGATGTTTCTCTCAGATCTTTGAGTCCTCCTGATCTCCAGCAAAAATTTACTCTGCTACACCAGGTGTGCTATTTTATTAATTTGGAAACTGCACCTTGTGACATGGTGTTAGTAAAATATAACAAATTTGAACATAGCTTTTGTTCAGCAGGTAAATGGACATGCAAGACAGCAGATGTTATATGGGCTTAAGTCAGGGGTCACAAATTTGGCAGTGGGTGACCAAAATCCAAATTCACAGTTATATTCTGACAATGAGCCTATGACTTGCTCATCAAAGGTTATTGGAGATCAGCCAGGCAAACCTTCATCTAAGGTCTCCATCCAAGGTGGAATATTAAAGTTCGAAGAAAATGGCATTCATAGTCATCCTAAAGCGCAGTCCCAAGTTTATCTGCAAATGGCCCCATCCTGGTCTGAACCCAGTGGAAGTATGAAGAATGGGCAGATGCGATCAATGTATGATTTGATGCATTCTAAGGAAGTTGCTAAACAGTTATCAATTGGGCAAGTAAATTCATCTATTGCCAGTCTACCAAGCAGCATATTGCCAAATTCAGCTACCGAGATAGTACCAGCTAAAGAGCTACAACCTCTATTTGTCATGCCTTTAGATGACAGTCAACGAAATTTGGCTGTTTCTGCTCCTAAGAAGCGAAAACTTGCCTCCTATGATATTCTTCCATGGCACAAAGAAGTAACTAATGTTTCGCAGCAGCTTCAGACAGTTAGGTGCGTAAACAATCTGCATAAGTTGCTGCAGTGTTTGTTGCTTGTCAGACTTTCTTTTTACTGTCTATCTAATTCAATATCCTTAGACTTGGTATAATTGATGGAATGGCTCTTTTAGCTTATAAAACAAAGACATAATTTTCCTAGATTTTTCATCATCACTCACATTATGAAATAGAAATTTATATATGATACATGTTATTCTCTCCATCGTTTTTTCTTACAATTTCTGTCTTTATTGTTTATTTGGAAACAAGAATGATTAGTACTTATACATAGCTTACAATTGACAACAAATTTTTACTGCAGCAGCATGGCAGAATCCGAATGGGCATTAGCTTCAAATCGATTAAGTGAAAAGGTAAGTTAGTGATTGAAGGGAGACTCAGAGCTCTGAACAATGTAGTTAGATTTTCTCAAAGCTAAGATCTGCTATGATTGAGATTCAAAAGAACCAACTGCTAGTGATCTGTTATCTTCAGGTAGAGGATGAAGCTGAAATGGTTGAGTATGTATTTCCAATATCTCGAGCAAAGAAAAGGCTTTTATCGACAACACAGCTTACGCAAAAAATCTTTCGACCTGCACCAATTGTCCTCTCACCAGATGCCTTTTCAAACGCTGAGACCATGATTTATTTTGTTGCTCGATTAGCCCTGGGTGATGCTTGCAGCATGACAAGTAGTTGTAAAAGGCCGCCTCTCACCAGTGACATGTACGTTTTTCTTTTCAAGTGACTCACTTTCATTCCTTTTAATACCAAAAATGATAATTTACAGCACCATAGATATCTATTATCATGTCTACACAAAAATAAATAAATAAAATAAAAATAAAAATGAAAGAGTTCATGCCATAACAATCTGATGTTTGATATGTGTCATCTAATTGTTGGATTTAATTGCTGTTTAGGTCTTCTGAGAATCTGAGAACCTCTGAGAGGGTTGGTCAGCTGGAATTTTTCGAAGCTGTAGAGAAGTTCATTGATCGAGCTAGAAGGCTAGGAGATGAATTGTTCAGGTAAGAAAAGAATAATCTTGTAAGCCTTTATAGGTTTTGAATTTTGAGAAATTTTGACCAATATGGCATGAGTCGGAGGAGGAACCTAGAAACTACTGAATTTTAGATTCCTGTTTGTGCAGAATTTGCTGCTGTTTCTCCTGCCAAAAATCTTGAGTCATGCCATTAGCTTTTAATTATGTTAAAAGTATTGTGCAGCACACTGGGCAAATGAAAGATCTCAATATTACACGTTCATTATTTGTTTGTCTATTTCTGAATTTTTTTTTTTGTCTGCAGACTGGACAAGACTGTGTCATTTGTGGACATAAAAGTGGATTCCCAGGAATTGGAGAGGTTCTCTGTCATAAACCGATTTGCTAGGTTCCACAGTAGGGGACATATTGTTTCAGTTAATACATCATCCTCTGGTGCAAATCCTGGTGTACACAAAACGTCCCCTCAGAGATATGTCGTAGCACATCCAATGCCTAAAGTGGTGCCAGAAGGGGTTAATTGCATCTCCTTGTAAACTAATAAGTCTTTGTAGTACTTATCCCTTTATTTGCAGTCTGCAACTCCATAATACTTGGGCTATGTTGGAAGAATAGAAAATACCTATGCTTGGAACGCATTAGTGGCCTGGGAGCTGGAATAGAAAATCAGGGACAATCTTCCTGCTAGCTAGGATGCCGGCTGATCTTTTTACTACCAAGAGGGGTTTGCTGCTGTGAAATTTTGAGGGAATTTCCCGATACATAGCAAGTGAATCATCCCCTCGATAGCAACTAGGTGAGGCAACGTGCAGTTAAATATATATATATATATCATCAGGATGCAGCATAACTGAATTAAAATGTAATAGAATGGTAGATTTGGATCTGCTTGGCCTCCCATTCTCTGCCTCTTTGTTGTGCTCATTCTTTCCTTTCAGGATTGCATGCAGGTGCGGGCCTCTTGAAGACCAAGAAATCAGGTGAAAAAGCAATATTACACCTTTTTTTTTTTTTTTAATAATCTTTGATGGGCACCTATATTTCTCGACCATATTAAAAACCTAAGTAGGATTTTGGATTCATAGCAATGCATCAAAAATTTTGGGCAAGGCTGAGTGCCCTAGGCTAAAATTTTTTTTTTTTTTTTTTCTTTTGTCAAACCCTGGGCTAAAACTCGTAAGCAATTTTCTTGGGGTAACCTCTCTGTCGCTTGCGTAAAGAAAAATAGGGAGCTTGTGAAAAAGACCCTTCATTTAATTGTTTTTAATCTTTGCTGAAGGTTTCAGAAAGTGATTCTGTGGCCCTCCCTATGGACAATGGAGGGTCAGAATTTTTCAATTTCGATTCGGTGAGAGAAGAACCTCGGACCAAGATTACCTTTCGTTTATCCTTTTCAGGATCTTTTTGGCTGAATGCTGCAGTGACACGTCATCAAATCCAGATTGTACCCTTAACGTTAACCAACCAACCAACCAACGGACGGACGGCCATTGTGTCTATCCACTAAAGACAAGATTCAGCATCTGACTGAAAATCATAAACCATATGATTGCGGGAAAGCGATGTGACATAAAAAGACAAGAATTCGCATTGATATCGCGTATCATGTCGTGATCCCATTCGGTATAAAGCAACCGAGCACAACAGTTACACGCAGTGACACACACACTAGCTGTACGCTTCGTACCCGTAAAAAGTTAGTTTTTACGGCAGGATGTCGTCGTACTAACATCCATGGATGCAAAAGAAATGCGTATGTATGTATGTGTGTCCAACGCGCGAGGGGTTGACATCGGATGATTGGGCGAACGAACCAGAAAAAGGGTCCGAAGCCGAGATTTGCTGACAGCCCAGCAACAGGGGCTGCTGTCTTGATTTTGCGTGCGTGTGTGTTGGGTCTGTGTATTGAAACATTCCAACATTCTTTGGCACTTTTGCAGTTATTCCATCATCAGCACGTGAGATGCCCTTTCTCTCTCATCAGGCTTTGCTTGCAAGGGCGGGACCCCATCCTTCCAAACCTGAGGTTGTATTGTTGAATTTTGTATCGTGGGCTTCCCCCAATTTTCTGTTTTTTAATTAATAATAATTTGGTGGATTTTTTATTTTATCAGAATATTCATAATTTTAGTGGTGGTTGATTTTGGATTTACCGGGTCCTAGTCTAGATGTGCCTCAACTTTTCTTTTTTCTTTTTTTTTTTTTTTATCAATATAGAGTGACTGATGCGGTTGCGAGCAAACTCCGAGAGTGCGAGTATTGTTGAGATTGTGATAATATGATGAATTCGACGATGCGGCTCCAAATAATGTTCCTTGTCGGTTCCCTCTCGCCGACTGTAACTCTGTATCCCTTTTGGGCTTCGGGTCATCATGCCCTTCTAGTATTAAGTGTACTTGCACAAATGCCCGTGATACGCACACCACAGCAATAATGTATGCAAATTGCTTGCTGTTCGGATTCAGAGATTAGGAGGAGCTTTTTATAAAATGCTGATTTGTTGTACTTTGCAGTATTTGCAGCCTCCACAGAAACCGGGAGCACCATATGAGTGTTCGTGGCCTGAAAAGAGGAAGTAAGCCGCCGTCTCGTGGGCTAACCGACTTCACTGTATACTCCCTTTCTACTTCTTGGGCTAGCTCTTCCTTTTTGTACCAACGTAAAAGAGCTACGTATCGGGCCTCCGATGTCAGCGGACTGGGCTTATTAAGAGCTTTTGGGTTTCTCAGCAGCAGAATTGCAATCCTGGTTTGTTCCCGAAGCTGAAGTAGATAGCACCTTAAAATCATCATATGACGAACAAGTTCGGGAATAAAATTCCAGAGCTCGAGGCCCAACATTCTCTTTCTTTCTTTTTTTTTTTTGGCGTCAGAAGCCCAGCGTTCTTGAGTTGTTGAGCATGCCCGTAGCGAGCGTACGGACCAATGTAATGCTCTAGCTAGTATGCCTGCCAATAATTAAAAATCACTGGGACCAAATAAAATACTAAAATAAAAGCAAGTGCCGTCAAGATAAACAAACCAAAAAACAAAGCGAGCCAAAAAGTCCAGCTAACAACGCAGCACCAGAAGCCAAAACACCAAACGCGAGCGAGCCAAAAAAACAAGACAAATAATTGATGGAGAAAAACCCAAAGGCGTACAACGTAATAATAATAATAAAAAAAAAAAGGTTGTTGTTCTGGTAGTGATTCGAATCTTTATTATGAGTTTCAGTGACGTGACGAGTCAAAAATGACAGGAGGAGAGAAAGACTCAATAAATCAGCTAGACACGAAGATGGAAAACTCGATACCAGGTCAAAATACTAACCACCGATCAGAAAGCTGAAAACACACAGCTCGGCGGACACCCAGGATGGCCAACCCGCACGTCCTGGTGATTCCTTTTCCTGTGCAAGGGCACGTAATTCCCTTGATGGAGCTTGCACAATGCTTAGTCGAGCATGGCTTCATGATCACATTCGTCAATACTGAAGTCACTCACGAGCGGGTTCTCGATGCATTGGCAGATAAAGGTTTATTGGATGATCGTATTCGTTTGGTTGCGATCCCCGATGGGCTGGAATCAGCGGAGGAAAGGAAGATCCCTGGGAAGTTAGCCGAGGCCATCTACAGAGTCATGCCCGGGAAACTTGAGGAGTTGATAAGAGAGATCAATGCATCAGAGGAGGAGCCAATTACTTGTGTCATTGCAGATCAGGGTCTTGGGTGGGCCCTGGAAGTTGCGGGGAAGATGGGAATCAGGCGAGCGGCCTTCTTGACAGCAGCAGCTGCTTCCTTGGTCTTGGGATTTAGAATTCCTTGCCTCATTGATGATGGGATAATAGACCACGATGGTGAGAATTTCATATATATATATATATATATGCTTACAATTCTTAGCTCCTACCCTCATTTATTCACAATTAATAGCCCATCACAGTGTTGTAGAAATGCTAAAAATATAGCTCCATGTATTTTATAGATGCATGCACATGCATCTCTAGTTCTCAACTTGGAGCGAGCTTCAGTTTTTAGACAAGAATTCAGTTGGACAGAAGACTAAATAGTTCAATTAAGTAAAGCCTGAAGGTGATATATTTTGTATCAGGAACTCCGATAAAGAAGCAGACGCTGCAGCTTGCACCAACCATGCCTTTGATGAATACATCAGACTTTGTTTGGGCACGCGTAGCGAACTTGGCTTTGCAGAAAATCATTTTTGGAGCCATGGTGCAAAACAACAGACTTGTGAAGTTGGCGGACTGGCTGGTTTGTAACTCAACTTATGACCTTGAGCCTGGAGCATTCGACTTGGCTCCAGAGATTAAGCCCATTGGCCCGCTCCTAGCAAGCAACCGCCTGGGGAATTCAGCAGGGAACTTCTGGATGGAGGACTCAACCTGTCTGGAATGGCTCGATAAGCAACCACCTGGCTCAGTGATCTATGTCGCATTTGGCAGCTTTGCAACATTTAGCAAACCTCAGTTCGAGGAATTAGCTCTAGGCCTTGAACTCACTAACAGGCCATTCCTGTGGGTTCTGAGACAAGATACGAAAGATGGGACCAATGCAACTTATGTAGAAGGATTTCAACCCAAAACAGCAACTCAAGGTCAAATAGTGAGCTGGGCACCGCAGCAAAAGGTTCTGAGTCATCCTGCTATTGCTTGCTTTTTGAGTCATTGTGGTTGGAACTCCACAGTGGAAAGCGTAAGCAATGGAGTTCCCATGTTATGCTGGCCTTACTTTGCTGACCAGTTCTTTAACCAGAGCTATATATGTGATATTTGGAAGGTTGGGCTAGGATTCAAACGAGACGCAAGTGGGGCAATCGCACATGGCGAAATAAAGAACAAGGTGGATGAACTGCTAGGTACAATGACGTTCAAGGAGAGAGCTTTGCATCTCAAGGAAAGACTGATGAATAACATTGGAGAAGGAGGAAGCTCCCACGAGAATTTCACCAATTTTGTTGATTGGATGAAAACACAGAAGAGCTCTTGACATATCCAAGTCACAATATAGTTTTCGGAATAATGCCCTCAAAGATTGATGATTTCAACAATCCTCTGTGTATCGAATCGCAAAAAGTACTGGAAGACGTATTTTCTCGAAGCAGTTAAAATTTAGAATCTTGTTACGACAAATGTCGCCAAACATATGAACCAATAACACCTGTGTTTTGCATTATGAGTGTCCAAGTAACAAAATGTCATTTGATTACTACGACAGAAACATGCACTAGGTCTTGAACTCACCAATATGCCGTTCCTCTGGGTTGTAAGGCAAGATATAAACAATGTGACAGGCATTGCACAGACAGAATACAGGGAAGAGGGCCGCTAGTTGGTTGGGCACCTCGACAAAAGGTCTCGAGTCATCCTTCTGTGGCTTGCTTCCTAAGCCACTGTGGTTGGAATTCTGCCATTGAGGGCGTTAGCAATGGTCTTCCATTCCTTTGCTGGCCTTACTTTGCAGACCAATTCCTTAACCAGAGCTACATCTGTGATGCATGGAAGCTTGGAGGACGACTCAACCGAGATGAAAATGGAATTGTTGGACGAGAAGAAATAAAGAATAAGGTCGAGCTGCTTCTAACTGATCAAGGATTCAAAGCAAGGGCGGCCCTGGATTTAAAAGCAAAGGCGATGAATAATACTGCTGCAGAAAGCGGACGCTCTGGAAAGAATTTCAACAATTTTGTCAAGTGGGTTAAGGATGAAAGGAATGATTCCTGCTCTCAAGAGGCCTGACAGCCACTTGTGAAACCAGTTTTACTGGAAAATTTTAGGATAAATATGTCCATCTAGGACAAGATAGCAAACTGCTGGCTCAAATCATTATCATAATTATACCAAGAATAATTGGATGGATTGCCTAATAGGGCAAGAGTCACAATACTTAGTGGCCAACACTAGTTGCAACAGTCTTTTTACGTTTTTTAGGGAGTAATGGTGATCTGTCCTTCTGTATCTCATTACCTCAGGAACCAAAGTTTTTGTGAAAAGTAATCCTTCTTATAGAGAGAGAGACTACAATCGTCAATCAACATTCAGATGGACAGGTTCCGGCCCTTCAAGAAAATAGAACAGGTTCATGATAAACAAGTTACTATATGAAAGAATTTTCAAGTCAATTATTCTGCTTTCCATCCATCTTAAAACAGGACTTTCGCAATTTCTGCTAGATTCTTTGAAGAAGGAATATAGACAGTAGACACCTTAAATTTACAACCTAAGGTAGTTAGGGGACTGATCCAGATAGAAACTTAATAGCAAATCTGCACCATTCAGGAACTTTAATTACCTTTAATACAAATAGCAGGAAAGAAGGAAAATTACTTATCTTCCTCTTGAGCAAAACCATAAAAAGATTTTCGCACGCACTTCTCTTCTTACAATCATGTAATTTTGCATGATAGTTGATCAGTGTCAAGTAATCAGAGAAGAAATTTAACAACTGAATTCTCAAAACCAACCCCTTTACACTTCGCGATTTTGCCTGTGGATATTTAAATATTAAGGGATGTGATGCTTAACAATTTCAGTTCTCACGCCCCGCTGGACAGACTGGCCCGGCCAGCCGGCATGGGCTGGATCTCTTGCTGGTCTGAGGAGCTCAAAGATGATAACAGTGATACTTTAGATCATTCCTGCCACACTGGTTTCAAAGTAGAAACCCGTGTCATTTTGTTAGGGAACATATTGAATTCTTACTAAAATTTTGTAACCCAAATGCGAGCATATATTGCTTCGATTTCCAAATTTATGCTAACAAGTAACAACTAGACCCTTTGAGCTCACCGGATTAACATAATGGGAAATATATTGTACCAGCCTGAGCCGGCCAACTTGTAAACATTGGGAACCACTTGCACGAATTGGTGACAATCTTAAGCATGGGTGGTAGCAAAGACCCTTCCATGAAATATCGTTCAACAGAATTTGCTCCCTCTCACTGGGAGTGAAGAAGAAGAACTCCAACTCAGATGTCTGAGTTGGTTTAGGACGCCAGTAATTCTACAAGAATGGAAACAACAGTAGATACAACCAAAAGAACACCGTATTGCAAATCAAATACCTCATGTAACAACAAACTCAAGCGTAATCAGACAAATAAGCGACATCACGACAAAGAGGAGAGGTCGATAAAACTTAAGCCAGGTCATGATGGATTGGAATCATGGGAGGACAGAAATGACCTGGGCAACAAGTTGACACTTACTATCAGTTTACCAGGTCATGCCGGTGATGTGAACCTGGAGTCGAACATAAATCAATCAATGTGATAGTGATAATATCACATGCATTATTGCTGATGAGACCATGGGATGGGCGCTAGAGATTGCAAAGAAAAATGGGAATCAAGACAGTAGCCTTCTGGCCAGCATCAGCAATCAGCTTCGCTGTTAGCCTTGAAGTTCAGCATCCCCAAGCTCACAGATGATGGGATCATAAGTAGCAGCGGTAACATTACTGACTCGTTTCAGATACTAATATTCTTTGCCAGAAGCGTTGGAAAAAAGTATTAGGGTTAAGTTGGATTATTTTATTCTCACATTGCCCCTAAAACCAACAGCCAACTATTTTCCGTTATCTGCTCAATTTGGTCACGTCTTCACTTTCGCTCCTATCCTAATGTTTTAGCAAATTTAAGTGCTTGCTTGCTTCGTCCAACTCACTCTACATCATTCTATTTTTTGGAATAATCATTTATATTTTGCTTTTATGAATTGATTCATCATATAATTTCAAAGCGGCATAGTAAGTTAAACTACTTTCTAACTAGGAGTTAACGAAAGAAGTTCACATGGAAATCAATAACTAGTACTTATCACCAATAATGCTAATTTCTTCTCTCTCTCTTTTTTCACAATATTAATTGATTCCAATCACAAAAATTTTTTCACAATATCGATTCCATTCATTAAATTTAAGTACGCGCACAGGTGTTTGGGCGCGAGTACATACCTTTCTGTTATATTCAGACATTGAGTGAATTTGACATGAATTTATTTGAAATATAACATATGATTGCGCAAGAAAGGTAAAGGAAAAGAAATTGTTACCTGTAGATGGGATCCTGTGATGTGATGAAAATTTCGGAACCACCATCAATTATTGGCAGAAAATTACCTAGTGTATATACACTAGATGAAGATGATATCCACTTTGATGAATAGTATCATTTTATTTGTCGGTTTGTTTCTAATTATTGATGCTACTCCTTGCTATGTATTACTATAAGCAATATGGTTGCTAATTTGGTATTTTATTTTTGATGCTGGTTAAGTGTGTTTATTGAAACAATTAACCTTTGAAGTTTGTGTCTACTTGAATTTATGTGCTTGTAATTTAAGCGCTTGATACTGCGGTGACTTGTGAGGTGTGACTAGTTTGTTTCTAAGATTGAACTTTTTACAATGTTAATTATTTTGCTTTTTTGTGCAACTAATATTAATACGTATGTTTTTTTAAATTATTAGTTAGAGTTATACGATAATAATTCTTTATCTGTGTAATTGTCTTCATTTTATCTAATTCTATTTATATCTTCAAATGATTTTTTTTTTTTTATAATATATATCATATTTATATATTTTAAAAAAAAATAAAAATTCACGGGGCTGACGCCACACGCCGAATACTACTAAATGCCCCGCCCAACGCCATCCTCTTTTAAAACACATGGATCATGTCACTCTGTTCCCTGCAGAAGCAAGACTCCCATCCCAACTATTTTTTTCATTTGAACAAACAGAAATAATCTGGCCCTCCTGAGAGCAAGCTATGCGTGCTTTGTGCCGCTCTCCTAGTTGCTTCATCATGTCCATTGTTGAATCTGTAATGACTTTTTGCTAAATGACTGAGGTACGTACATAGATGGAAAAACAAAAAAAAAAAGTGCTGAAACTGGATTAATTATACTCGACCTACATCCGTGATTGAGGAAAAAAAAAAAAAGACAGCTGCGAAATATGTATGGAGGGTAATAAAAGTTGCACGTTGATGCGACTGCCGAAGTGAAGATCCGAACTGAGCTGGTTGAGCGTCCGACCTGCACGTGAGCGAGCTGCGGGGCTGAGTCCCCTGTAGCAACTCCGACGATCAAGTCAGAACTAGTTTGTAAGTAAAAAGAGTAGAGTCTGCACTATGAGTAGCGTACCTTGTGTTTCTTACGGGTGTGGTATTTATAGAACACCAGGTGGTAGTTTCCTGGTAGGACAAGGAGTCCTTATTGGAGAGGATAAGCCTCTAGGGCTCCACTACCCAGCTCTGGTAGACGAGGGCTCCGAAGCCCATCGGGCCCATCCGCCTGGGAGGCGGCGCTCGTCTGGTCCTGCGAGAGGACCTGACCCCTAGACCAGCCCATTACGCCAGGACTCTTGGGCCGAGCTGACGTGTATGTGGACCGGGCCGATGTGCTCATGGGCTCCACTACACTAGCCCCCCCTCTAGTCTAGAGTCACCGAACAGGCGCGTGAATCTAGGCCGACTTTCAGAGCGTCGCGTCAGCTCGGTGCGGGCCCCCTTCAAGGAGTGGTGCAAGCAACCGTCGCGTCGGTTCGTGTCTGTCACCTCAACCGTCGCGTCGACCAGTTATGGCGGTTGGGAACGGTTCCCCATAAATAGTTCAAATAAATGCGCGCCCTCTCGTCTTCCCGCCCTGAGAATCGCCTATAAATAGGCCCCTTGGGCGTCATTTTCACTCCTCCTTCTTCGCTCTATCAGTTCGCTCCTTTCACTCCTAGCTCGCTGCTTCAAACTTTTTTCTTTCAGAACACGTCGGGTCGATCTTCCTTAGGAGCCCAGAGTTAGTTCGGCCCTCCCTAAATCAGCTTTTCATCCGATCTCCTTCCATCAGTAAGTTTCCTTTTCCTTTTTATGTCTTCTTATAGTTCTGATAGCTCTGACGTTACCAGTTCGGCCCCTAGGCACAGAGCAGCTAGCCCCATACTCCTAGATAGCCCCTCTCCCGACCCTTCAAGTTCTTCTCCTTCCACTTCATCTGGGTCAGTAACCGCGCCTTCTCCCATACAATCTCCTGTCCAAATAATGAGCCCAGCCGAACAAACTGCCCAGCCTCTAGTCGGGGCTGCGGAACAGGCAGCTCCAGCTCAGATGGCCGCGGGGACCTCGGGAGGACCTAGTGGCGACTTTGGAGAGGTCGACACTATCCCCCCTGCCCTGGGACAGAAGGAAGTTGACGGGCTGGGCGAAAAATATGAAATCCCAGCCCAGTTTGAACCTAGGGCTGCCCTACCGGGGGAGGTCGCCAGCCGACCTCCTCCTGGCTTCGTGGCGATCTATAGGGACCAGCTGATGGCTGGTCTCCGCCTGCCTATTCCCAACTTCTTTTTCTTCATCCTCACCTTCTGGGGCATCCGCATAACTCAGGTCATCCCCAATGGTGTTCGCTCCATTATAGGCTTTTTCATCCTCTGCCGAGCACTAGAAATTCCCTTTTCCCACGACCTGTTCCAAGCCTTCTTCCAGATGAAGGTCAGCGGGAAGGTGCCCGGGTGGTTCTACTTCGCCCGTAGAAGTGGAGCAAAAACCCCCACCCGCGAGCTGTTCACGGGGGTACCTTCCTCCATCAAAGACTGGAAGCGTTACTTCTTTTTTGTGAAGAGCCTGGGCTTTCCCCCTCTGACCTGGAGGGCGGAGACTCAGGTTTCGGATCCACTTCCAGATCCGCTCCCTGTAGCCGAGCTCAGCCGCCTACTCAGCTCAGACGAGAAGCTGGAGGTGAAAGAGTTCAGCAATGCCCAACTCTGGGCGGCGGGGCTGATCCGAGCTAACCCCTCAGATCCCTCGCCAGAGAATAGGCCGCTCTCGCCAGACGAGCTGACCTCTTGTAAACGACCTGGCCCTCCTTTTCTTTCCTCTCTTTGTTTTATGCATCTACTGACCTTCTGGTCTTCTGCTTTTTGCAGTGAAGAGGTTTTCTTCCCTTCTAACCATCGGAGGAGCCAGCACTCCAGGTGCTACTACCCAGCCCTCCTCAGCCATTCCAACCAGCTCGGCA